TGTGGCAGAATTACAGCACCACATGCTGGTCTGGCATGTATACTACATCGTTTTGTGTCGGTTTTGTGGTTTCATGTGGACGCAGATATTTTTTGAGACGATGGGAAAAAAAAGATCGGATAGGGAAAGCTCTGGCTTCGTGTGGACACAGCCTTAGTTTAGTCTTAACAATAATGTCTTAAGGTGTGGTCACACTGCAAAAAAAAATCAGACACGGCAACAAGATATTAACAAAAGTCAGTGTTATTTTGATATACTATTATAGGTTTTGTTAAGATTTTGAATTTTGAAGATTTTTATTTTATATTTTGCTTCCACTTTAATTTTAATTAAAGTTTTAGTAACTTTGTTTTTGTCATTTTTATTATTTTGTTATTTTTCATTTTATTATTATTTTTAATATGTCTATATGGTATTTATACATTTCTATTCATTACTTTTAGTTATTTTAGTGCTTCGACTTTAAATAAAAAATGAGAAATGCTGTTTTGGCAACAAGCTGAAATAAGTTTTTTAAATATATTTTATTTCAGTTAATGTTTATTTTATTTAAAGTAATTTTAATTATTATTATTATTATTATTATTATTTAATGCTTTTAGTTTTATTAGGATATTTTTATTAGGATAATAAGTCTGCCAGGAGGATATGATGTCATGGTCTAGGGCTTTTTTTTTAATTTCTCTTCTCCTGCATTTACTTCCTTTGTGAATGTCTAGTGTGAACATACCTTATAGAAGGCGATATACTGTATTGTAAATTTAAATCATGTGCAATTAGAGAGAATTTAAATATATATATATATATATATACACACATAATCTGAATAATTCTAATTCTTCTGTACTTGCTTTTGTTTCATTTGACTAAAGTCTTGATATAATTCAAGTGAGAGTCAAGTATTGACATCTTACAAATCATTTGCCATAATTCATCTCATTATTTGGTAATTATGAGATAATCATCTCACAATCATCTTTGTTTGGAGTAATCATGAACATACCGCACTCCAGAGACTCATCAGAGCCGTCGCCGCAGTCGTTGTCGTGGTCACACACAAAGTGTTTGGGGATACACTGTCTGTTCTGGCACATGAACTCTCCCGCCTTACACGTGTTATTGAACACTGAGCGAAAGAGAAACAATAATACACACAGACATGTTTACCGAGTCATTTGCACAGTATTTGCACCAAAACAAATGATGTATTTGAGCGCTCACCACAGCCGGCCTTCAAGCTCTCGTCAGCTCCATCCGGACAGTCTCTGTCTCCGTCACACACCCAGCGCTGCGGGACACACTTGTGTGAATCCGGACAGTGGAACGCGTCTGCACTGCACGTTTTATTCTCTGAGTTAAAAACACACATGATTCAGCAACTTAGAAAACAATGTTGATCATTCATTATGTTGATAAATGTCTGTGGTCGTATTCTCTGTGATTCATCAGTCACACTTTAAAATGTCCTATTTCATGCTGTTTTTAAGGATCAGCACTCACTGCATCTGCTGTCCTCATCTGTTCCATCTCCACAGTCGTCCGCCCCGTCACACACCCAGCTGCTGGAAATACAGCGATGATTCCCGCACTCAAACTGCGTCGCTGAGCAGAACTTATCTGAGCAGAATCATTAAACGATCCGTTAGTTAATTATTCAAAAGATTCTTGCAGAAAGAACACATTTAAAAGACTGACCTTAAATGAACCGTGCACAGCTGGGAACAAAATTTCCCCCTAAAGTGATATAAATCTGACAAAACCTCATTTGGAAAAATGAATAATTGTTTATAAATGCCTTTGGTGTTACGAAACAAAAGCACAAAGACACAGAATACATAACAAGAGTTTTTTGGTTTTGTAATGTTGACTTGCATCATGTTTACTCTTGATATGTATTCAGTTCAGTTTCTGTTTAAAAATAATAAACCTAGTACTAATAAAGTATATAAATATATATAATAATTATTATATATTAAGTATATAAAATAATTTGGTAACACTTTAGTTTAGGGACCAGTTCTCACTATTGACTAGTTGCTTATTAGCATGCATATTACTGGTTGTTTGCTCTTTATTAATGCTTATAAAGAACATATTAATGGTTTATTCTGTATTAACAGATTTTAGATCCCTTAATCCACACCATACCTAAACTTAAAGCTGCAATCCGTAACTTTTTTTGGTTAAAAATGATCCGAAATCAATATTTGAGCAAGTACATAACCAGCCAGTGTTCAGCCTTTTCTCACAGCAGCCAGAATAATTAAATTTATCATTTTGATGACGGATTGTAATTCAGAAAGGATTATGTGTTTATGAAATGTTACAGTTATAAATGTGTTTCTGATTACAGATAGCTTGGGATTACAAAGATTTTTATTTTAAAGAAAACCAGTTCGAAGGGAGCATAATTTGCTTTTTGGGTTAAAAGAATTTCTTAATATGAAATTCGAAGAGTATGCGGTGCGGTGACTGACTGCCACACATACTCCTCAATTAGATTAATCCGCGCTGCAGCCGAGCCGACTCACAACCCACGCAAGCTAGATAATTCTGCACACAGCTGCAATTCCAAGTTTTCAAACAGATATGGCGACAAAGAGGCAAAACTTACGGACTGCAGCTTTAACTACTAGCTTTACTAACTATTAATAAGCAGCAAATTAAGAGTTTGAGGCAAAAGTCCTAGTTAATAGTTAGTTAGTTGTGAGAACTGGTCCCCAAACTAAAGTGTGACCAATAATTTATTTTACATAATCTCTTTAAAGAAAGCGTATTAAAGCACTTACAAAAAAAACAGAGAACAATGAAACAATGCATACAGTTAAGTATGTTAAGTTAGTATATAGTTCTGTTTTCTTGGTTTCTGTATTATTATTATTATTATTCAACTTCGTGCATTTGGATTCTGGTTTTCCTTTTGTCTGAATCTGCCTGTTACTACTCTCTGTGATTCTTTAGTCATGCTATTCATTACACTTTAAAATGTTCTATTTCATCTTGTTTTGAATTAATACAATTACAATTTTAATCACTTCATGCTGTTTTTCCATTAATAAATAATGTTTTTTTATATATATATATACACCCTAAAATTGTCTTTTTATCCTAGTTTGTTTTTTAGGTTTTAGGTTAGGATATGTCTATTTTATTGAGCTTTACATAAAAACAATCAAATCTACAGTATGTCCCCATTTTGAATATTAAATTTAAGGAGTAGCCAACCGTCCATGAGGAGAGCTGCTTAATAAACATACTATATGTTTATTAATAATGCTAAATAAATAATGTGCAAATGAAAATGGCAAAAATTAGGGGTAGTGAAGTGTTAGAGGACAGTATAAGTCTCCATGATGACAAAAATACAAACACACGTGTAACTCACCACAGTGCGCCTCGTCATCTCCGCTCTCACAGTCGTTCTCCTTATCACAGGTCCAGCTCATAGGGATACAGCGACCGTTGGGACAAGCAAAGAAGTTTGACGGGCACTTTCTCTTTTTCTTATCTGATGAGTGAAAAGAAACAAAAGAGTAGAATTTGAGGCTGTGTGAGATATTTTATTTCTTTAAGTGTACACATATATATATATATATATATATATATATATATATATATACATTCTATTACATAATTTCCATTCTTAAACATCAGTTGAAAATGGCTATCCAGCCAAAAATGAAGAAAAAAAACAACAATAACAAATAAGACCTGTTTAATAACTATCCTTTCTGATAGACAGTGATGATATTACATGGAGAGCAATGCTCTGCATCTCAGAAATATGTCTTTTCTAGAGTTTCAGAGGAGATTTCAGGAAGCAAATATCTTAAACTGTGCTCAGATTTCCAATAGCCTAAAATTCAGAGATTTCAATAAAAATGTGAATATTTTTTAAAAAGATTTTATTTTCATTGCTTGAAAAGGAAAAGCCAGAAAAAAGGGACCAGGAAAGACACCCATTTCACAGGGTCTAAAATGCAGCACACAGCTGAAGTACCCTTGTGTTCACCTGGGCAGTTTCTCTCATCTGAATAGTCTCCACAGTCATTTGCGCCATCACAGACCCATGATGGAGCATAACACAGCGTAGTGAACTCACACCGCTGATAGGTGAAGCCTTTCACACCCAGACGGAAATAACTGGAACAATCAGAGACCACTGAAAAACAAGACATAAGACAAATGCTTAAGAAACAATAGAACAGTATGTACAACATTCAAGAAATATTTTGCTACCATGTGTATTTCGGTTATGGATAAACTTTTACAAAAGTATGATAAATACAGATTTATTTCAGTTTATTACAATATGTCAGCTGTTCGCTTTTATGAACTGAGGGATGTGTTAAAATTATTGTCTTTTTGGTAACACGTTTGGTAACATTGTCTTTTTGAGAACACTATTCACTATTAACTAGTTGCTTATTAGCATGCATATTACTAGAATATTGGCTGTTTATCAGTACTTATAAACAGGGTTGGGGAGTAACAAAATACATGTAACGTCGTTACTGTCACAGCTACGCTGCTAACAATAAACGCACTAAGAAGAAGAAGAAGGTTTATACAGTTTTTAATCCAACACACAGGGTAGCATAAACGCAGATGTTGACATTGACGAGACCGGATAAACTAGAACTGAACACACAGGAACTAAAATACACAGACCAAACAAGGATAATTAATTACACACACCTGAACAGAAAGACACAATTAACTCAATGAAGGGGAACGGTGCATGAAGAAAACAAAGTCCAAACTGAATGACATGTGACATATGACCCCCTTCCCAGAGAGAAAGATGATGCGGCGAGGAGGATGAGGAGATGGTGAAGGGCAGGCACTCCAGCAGAGAGATGCAGGAGGAGGTTCGGGAGGAGGACGACAAACAAAATCCAGAGAGGAGCCTTGAGCAGGAGACCCAGGCCACAGCCAGGACTACGCTCCATGGTGGCGTTGCTGGAGGGAGGAGCAAATGTGTGATGGGAACACACACCACCATGGGATGAAAGTGAAAGTGAAGTGACGTGTGGCCAAGTATGGTGACCCATAGTCAGAATTTGTGCTCTGCACACACACCCAGAGCAGTGGGCAGCCATATTGCTGTGGCGCCCGGGGAGCAGTTGGGGGTTCGGTGCCTTGCTCAAGGGTCTCACCTCAGTTGTGGTATTGAGGGTGGAAGAGAGCGCTGGTTATTCACTCCCCCCACCGACAATTTCTGCCGGACCTGAGACTTGAACTCGCAACCTTCGGTTTACAAGACCGACTCTCTAACCATTAGACTACGATGACGAGTTGACGACAACGATGGAGGTGGAGCACACAGCGCAGATAAAGTGCCGAGGAGGTGGAGCGATTCCGAGGAGGATCCAGGTGGCTGGACGGAGTAGTAGCGACGATCGCCCGAGATGTAGGTGGGGATCCAGAGGCCAGGGTGAGAGCTGGAGCGACCGAGGAAGGAGATGGAGCCTGAGGGAGGGCGGAGCGGGCTGTAGCCGAAGGGGTGGAGGGCCGGTGAGCAGCTGACGGCCCGCAAGTCTGCAGTGGAGGTGTGGCAAAGTCTGACCAAGGTGGAGCCGACTGACCGAGAAAGCCCACAGAGGCCGAAAGTCCACGCCGGAATCGAGGGTGGGAGTTGTGCAGGCGCAGGAGTCAGGACGGCGGGATGAGGTGGAGCGGAGCCATCCGAGGCCAGAGGCAGAGCCACGGGCTCCTCAGGTCCAGGAGACAAAGACTCCCGGCTGTCCTGAGATGGAGCCCCACCACTGAGAGGAGGTGAAATAGAGGAACTGACTGGGGATGGAGATGACTAGACAGCAGGAGTGGCTGAGGACTGAGGAGACTGCAGAAATACACAAAAACCAAGCAAAAAGAAAAAGTCTCTTAGGGCAGTTTGGAAAGGAGGTGGGAGAGGGAGGCTGGGAGGGACCAGCGAATCAGACAGATGAATAGAATCAGGCAGGCTTAGGGGAAGCAAAGTCTCGAACTCTCCAAACTGAAAAACAGTGTCCAAGTCAAGTAAACACTCACTCTCAGTGGCGGGAGGGTAGGAGGGGCTCGCATTCATACCCTTGTGTTCCACGAGAATTCCCTTCGACATGTGCGTTGTTGTCGGCTCACACACCTGGTCAGATGCGTCAATCGGCTCAGGCTCCAGGGCGATGGCAGGCTCAGTCGCTTCTTCTCGCGATGGCTCTTCAGTCACGGTGGGCTCTGGTTCTCCGACTGCGGGTTTGGGGCATTGTGATTTACTGTGCTGCGTTCATTTTTCCCACCGTGTCCGATACTAAAATAAGTGCGACACACTTTGCAAAAAGCGTGGGAATTGTCAATGCTGCTTTGCGATAAGAAATTATATTCCTTATAATGCAGCGGCTAGAGTCAATCGTGAAAAGCGCTATACAAATAAACTTGAATTGAATTGAATTCCTCCGTCCAGCTGTGGTTGAATTTGCAGCTATATTTTGTTTTTTTTCGCCGTAGCACCACCTGAGCTTTCTAATGCCATTTCTACTAGGGATGATTGATTCAACTTCCCCCGTCTACATGCACAGATATCAACAGTGCAACTGAGTTCTAGCTTGCCAGGTTGAGGTCACAAATGGTTTCAAAATTGTATGATCTGTCTATTGTGTGAGTAGGATGCGTTTCATACAAGATCTGGCAACTGGTCAACCTTGGAATAATATATTGATGTGATTATTCATATAACGAGGTAGGGCCATACAAATTGCGGGAGTTTTCCGGGAGAAATAACAAAACGGGAGGGGGGCCGAGAGAAAAAAGAGAGGGGGGGGGGGGCGGGAGATGGGTGTGAAATACGGGAGACTCCCGGGAAAAACGGGAGTGTTGACAGGTATGTCGAGGACCCTGCACTTGTGTGCCGGTGTTCAGTCCGGCGTGCAGGAATGAGCACAGGCAGTCATCCGGGAAAGTGGTCTGATGGGCGAGACCAAGGAATTCCTCAACATGCTCCTCGAGGGAGCGGTACCCCTGCTCAAGGCAGAGCAGGTGGACAGTGGCAAAGTGATCCATAATGGAAAAAAATTAACAAAAGTTAACAAAATAAAAACGGGTTAAATCACACCATTCTTTCTGTCGTTTTTTGGGGTCCAGTCTTCTGTCACAGCTACAATGCTAACACTTGAAAATGAAGAAGAAGGTTTATAAAGTCTTTAATCCAACACACAGGGTAGCATAAACGCAGACGCTGATGTTGATGAGACCGGACAAACTATAAATGAACACACAGGAACTAAAATACACAGACCAAACAAGGATAATTAATTACACACACCTGAACAGAATGACACAATTAACTCAATGAAGGGGAACGGTGCATGAAGAAAACAAAGTTCAAACTGAATGACATGTGACAGTTAAGTATTTAAAACACAAAATATGTATAAAATAACCACACTTTTATTCAAAGTAACACAATAAAATTGGACAGAAAATATGTTAATATTAAATATCAATATATTATTTTTGTTCAGTTCTATGCAACATAATCAGATATAAGGTTTTTTTTTTTACTAATTATCCAAATAATGTATAGTCCTACAAAACTATTATTATCAGAGCATGTGAGCAGAGCATAGCGTCATTTTACCAGTGTTGCCATGTTACAGCACAGCAGCACTACTGCAAACAGGGACAAGTAAACTAAATTTCCTGTCGGCGTGTTATTTGAGCAGACTTGGTTGAGCGGAGCGTCAAACAATGCACTGACAACACCTAGAGGGAGAGTGAAACCTGCGCACTGAATACTGCTGGGTGGTGCAGTGCGCCATATATTTTCAGCAGTTTTTCTCTTTCGGCTGAAAACTGAAAATGTCGGTGCATCCTTAAAAATAAGCATATTCAATAACAGTTGCAGTGGCGTAGGGAAAAGACCTGTGACGATAAACTTTTTACGCGATCAACCCGAGTTCGAATCTGCCTTTTGCCAAACTTGTTCAACTCACATTCTTCTCCCTTTTCCCATCACATATCAGATCAGAAAGGCGTTTATTTTCAATAAAAATAAAGGAAATATTCAAAAAGTGGAAATAAAGTGCCTCATGGGTATTTAATAATAAAGTGTTTTTGGGGTATAGTGGTAGGGTTATTATTGCATACTGTTTTATAATGTACTACAACATTGAGGTGCAAATATCTGCCAAATATCTGTAAAATACTTTTTACATAGTGTAAATATAGTCTATTGCTATTTGCACTTAATGCAACCACTGCCTTCAAAATACATCCACAGCAGAAAACCCCCCGAGCCCCCCCCCCCCCATTATTTCAATGTTTCAGTGTTTTCAAGATGTCATATTTAAAACAATCTCATAATATTATTTATGAATTTATAATTGATTTAAATGCATTCATGCCACCCATTTTTATTTAGAGGTGGTTAACAAAAACAAGACATCAAAGTTAAAAGGCTCCTTACCTTAAGCATTCCAAAGTATTTAGATTAAGTTACTAAACTTGAGTAATCTAATGAAATATGTTACAAACTATATAAAATATTTTAAGGATGTATTTTGTAATCTGTAAGGAAATACATTTTAAAAGTAACCTTCCCAACCCTGCTCAAAAAACACAAATTAATGCTTTATTCTGCATGTGCATATTTTAGATCCCTTAACACTACTCCATACCTAAACTTATCAACTACCTTACTATTAAGAAGCAGCAAATTAGGAGTGTACTGAGGGAAAACTCTTAGCCAATAGTGAATGTGTTCCCTAATCTAATGTATTACCGTCTTTTGTTATCAACAGCATGTCACAGGTGCATTTACTAATCCAAGTCTGAACTTTAAGCAAAAGGCTGAATATTATTATTCATCTACATGTAAATAAATGAATGAATTAATAAACAAACTTACAGCAGTTCATTTCATCACTGGCGTCCTCACAGTCCAGCACCTGGTTACAGCGACTGGAGTTTGACACACATGATCCGTCTCTGCACTGAAACTGATCCGCTGTGCACAGGGTTGCTGGAACACAAACAAAAAGTGCATAAACTCACAAAGTCATGAGCTAAAGAAATAAATAAATAAGAGTAATACTAATAATAATGAAGGAAACATATTTTTAGTACCATAACAATAATATTTGCACAATGACAATATTTCCATGATAATTTAGCACCCTGAACCCCCCCCCCCACCCCAATTTTTTTTATTTTTTATTATTACGTTTTTTTTTGTTTTTGTTTTTTATAATTCCCATTGTTCTCAATAGTGATTTCATTCTCTTCTCCAAATAATTACTGAAATACAATATTTTTTGTTTTTAATTTAAATTCATTCATTCATTTATTCAGCACAATGACAAATACTGTATGTTGCTTATAAATTCTCTGGTCAGCTGCTGCAAAACATTTAATCTGCATCGGATTAGTCAAACAATATTCGAAACTCCAATATTCGAAACTGACCAAATGTTCAGAACCATTATAATTTCTAATCTGCCTTTGATTTTGGGGCAAAATATGACGGTTCACACATAAAGTATAATCTTTTTATGTTTCACTTTACTTTTTGTAGCAGGACTAACATCAGCATCAGTTGAACCAAAGAGCTCTACAATTCAAAAGACAAAAACACCAGCACTATAATAAAGCGGGAAGGGGAAAACAAAACTCTACAACATTAGAACGTTTGAAAGCTATAGAATTCAAAGGGGCCGTCAGGCTGGATTTGAAGATTAGGCTGCAGCATTACAGATGTTCAGTATATGATGTGTATGAACAGTTGGTCTTACCATTACAGAAGAGTTCATCAGAGTTATCCCCGCAATCATCTCGGCCATTACACCAGGAGCTGTGGCCGACACAGCGTCCGTTCACACAGCGCTTATAGCCCTTCTTACACACACGGTTAGCTGAACACAAACACAGACCATTAGAGTGGGAGGCCTTCATAACCGCCTCCAGAATATCACACACACACACTCACTGCAGTAGGACTGTTTCTCATCTGACTTGTCTTTGCAGTGGGCCATGCCGTCACAGGTGAGCGTGTATTTGATGCAGTCTCCATTCCCGCACTCAAAGTCATCCATACTGCTGCATGACGTGTTCTGAGCTGAGAGACACAAGATGGCAACTATTAACATAGTACAATCCTTCAAACATGGAATACAAGCATGTCGATCACAACTTCCTAATGTATTGTATTGATGTTTTGTCCAAAAACAGTGACCACTCTGGTCCACTGATATATTGATTTTGGTGATAATTGATTAGATTAGTAACAGCTTTAGGATTAGATATCAACAATTAAATGCAGACATTTTACTTTATATGCATTTTTCTGAGTGGCGCCGAAAGGTTTTGAACAATCCGTAAGAAAGTACAAACATGCTTGAGCTTCCGTGGGCTCCATTTTTGTTCATTGATCAGTGTTTATTTGTGAAAAAAAAAGTTTAAAATCATATAAAGTGATTGTGTCTTTTCGAAAGACTTGGATTAAACTGCTTGATTCACATGGAATATTTTTTACGATCCCTTTATGAACTTTTTGAAGCTTAAAACTTTTGGTGGAAAGAACTTCTAATAGAGATGCAGAAAACTTCGAAGTTTCATTAAAAGTATCTTCATTTGTGTTTCGAAGATGAACAAAACTTTTAAGTAGGGCTGCCCCCCTAAATGTTAGTCGACAAGAAGAGGCTTAGTCGACTAAAATTATATTGGCTATCCGCAGAAAAAAAAACTGTCTGTGTCTGTGACGGACAGATCGAGGTAATTACAGTATATCAGGCAGGAAATCCAAACGTTCGCCTATCATTCATCACCTCAAATATGGTTTATCATTTGAAAGTGAAACATGGAAGCAGTACTAACTTTACATGGCCACTCGCTCTAATGTTACCCTAGATAAATGGGTGCTATTAGACGCATATTCAAGTGTTTTGCGGAGTGTGGAAGCTATAGCGCGCTACTGCATGACATGGAGGCGCCAACGCGATCGCTTGTTTTTTTTCTGATAACAGAGAAAACAACTTAAAACACACTGTCATTTTTGTTGTTACAGAGTAATACATGATTCAAAACTGTCAAGGGTCTACTTTTATTTGTGTACACTCACAATATCAACAAGACGTTGCGCTTTTGTAAAACAAAGAAAAAAACAGGATGTGCTTTCTGTCGTCTCGGTCTCCATGAACTGGAGCGCAGCACAAAAATGAACTGAAATTCAGCGTAGCAGCTACTTGCCTCAGAGACATGTGAAATATATCTACAGAAATCTTGAAATGTCTCCTTTGAAATAAACCAATTCTTATCAAAAACAAATATTATCTGATTATGTCCACTGGTGAGTCAGCATTGTCAACTTCATCTCTGCGGCGGACACTGAATCAGAAAACACTGGTTTATTAATAAATAATTCAAATATCTCCTTGCTATTTTTTCCGACACATTCATAGTCATTACTTTTGCGGGTGCTTTGCGGCAAGCTTTATGTGTGTGCTTGAACACATTAATTAAATGAACATAAACGTGATTAATCGACTATAAAAATCTTTAGTCAGAGGCAGCCCTAGTTTTTACAAAATGATGACAAAATTTCCATTTTGTGAACTATCCATTTAAAGTAGCAACAGCAATATGTTTCTAAGAGTGTTTATTCCACCAGGTCTCCCAGAGATGGATGAGATCTTCAGTTTTGGTTCATATCAGTGATCTAATTTACTCACTATTGTCACTGTGTTTTTGAGCAGGAACATTAACACTGCCTCTGTATAAAGCTGCTTCAAGGCTCTGTTCATCTCCATATGGTCAGTTAACAATGAACACTGTATTCTAATAACAATACTTGCATATGCATATATGTCTACATGACGTATGAAGCCTGTGATTGGTCAGCGGTGTCTCACCTATGCAGGTGTTATCCTCCAGCAGTTTCCTCTCTCCACGGCAGCTACAGTTGACCCGTCCATCTGATGTGAGCAGACACAGATCCTGACAGCCTCCATTATTCACACGACAGGGCGAGAACTCACCTGCACGCACACACAAATACGCACACACACACACATACACAGGAATTTAGCATCCCCAGAAGCTCTTGACATTGAGAAGTCACAAGAAGCATTATGTCTACTCGTTATGCAGCCCTTCATGAAACACACAAACAGATACAAATAACCCAATTAACATTCACTACCCACTTGCACACACAGATTTACAGAAAACTATTTCCTATTCACAGCATACAGATGTAAACACTCAAACAATAGTTCTCACAGTGGTATGCAGATGAAAGTTTCTACACAGCCATGCTGCAGAAGTCTACTTATAGGGTCAAAAAAAAAAGGTTGTCACATTTCACCACAAAAAGGGGGGTGGGGTGTGGGGTTGATATATTATTACATTTTGCTGTAATACACATTATTTAAATCATCATAAATGGCAGAACAAATGTACCATGTATTTAATTAATTGTAAAAATGTATATAATAAAGTGTTTTCTACTTTTATGCAATACAGTAAATCTCAGTAAATTTTGCATTGCAGTGATGAGAATTTGGGTGCTTAATTCAGGGCTCTACAGTAAAAACATTTCGTTATTCAACACATTATCCATAATAGATTAGTTCATGAATATTCAAAAATATCTGAAAACTAAACTATTAGAATTAAATATAAACTATTTTTCAGGATTCTTTGATGAATAGAAAGCTCAAAAGAACAGCATTTATTTGAAAGAGAAATCTGTTTTAATGTATTTACTGTTACTTTTGATCAATTTAACACATTCTTGCTGAATAAATATATTAATTTCTTCCAAAGAAAGAAATTAAGAAAGAAAGGGAAAAAAATGTGATAGACAAAGTGTAATTAAGGAATTAACTGAAATCATGTTTCTTGTCATAATTCAGTTTTTCGTGGCCATTTTATGGTCAACACAGTACTCAAATTTGTATTTCTAAAGACTGAGAAAAGTCCTGTTTTCCAGGATATGATCATTTAAGGATAAGAGGTTTTACTTTTACTTCATATTCCCAAATAAAACGGGGCATTTAATGGTAAAAAATACCTTAGTTTTTTCAATGCTATCATTATTGGCCATTTATTCGGTTTCGGTTGGGTTAACATTTTGGTTGGCAGACAGTAAATGGGGGCTTCATAGCAGGCAGAGATGCTGTCTTTAGGGGTTTGAGTGCTTGAGAATTGCTTCTATCACACTTGGATAAGCATGATGAATGATATTGATTGTGTGTGAGTGTGTCATTCCCAAGCGTTATAGAGTTCTTCTCGGTTCTGTGACAATCACAGATTACTTTTGGCACATAATTACATGGTTGAGATGACAGGACAGTGTAAGGCAATCGCTCTCTCACGCAGCTGATTGAGAGTACTCTTGACCATGCTGCCCTTACAGCCGTTCACTCACAGCTATTCGTATCGTTGGCCACAGCGACGATCCCCATTGGCTGTTGTGGGATATCAGCTCTTAACACCTTCATGTCTCCTCCAACATACTTGTCGGCTCTGAGGACGGCTCTGCGCACCCAGTCTGTCCAGAAGATGTGGTCACCGTACACGGTCAAACCGAAAGGATGCACTGGCTCATTCTTCAGGACCACCTACAGAAGCCGAAACAGATAGAAAGTAACCATTCGGTTTGTAGAAATGATCAAATTCAATTTTCCATTTTGATATCTCTATTTGAGACTAAATGAACTTATTCTTCCAAACTTTCTGTCTGGAATTATTCAGTCGGTGTGAAAAACGTCTATTCAGGGGCCTGTAAAATCTGCTTTATTTTATTTTTAAAATTTTATTTATTTATTTTTTTTCTCTCAATTTCATTTTTCTTAATGTTAATTTTTTCTGGATTCTGTTTTAATAGTTTAATTTTAATAAGCAAAAAGTGTTTACATGAACGAATTCATAAAACTAAAATGGGCAATATCAAGGTCACCAAAAATTCTGAATCGGAATTAATTTAATTTATCACTTTTTACATTGTATTGTCAAAGAACTTGACTAAATCAGTCACAGAAATTCACAAATCAAACTTTTGCTTTAGTCAAGTTTGAGTCAAGAACCAGCGAGTATTTTTTCTGTTCTCTTGGAAGGTGAAAAGATGATACAAAAAGAACCAAATTTATTTGAAAATGAACAGGGGCAAACATGCCACTAAAATGCCCCTAAACTCAAGATGCCCCTGCACGATTAAACTAAATCTATTGCAGCTATTCACCCTAATTCTAATAATGGAGATCGCCTCATGCTTCGCCGTGCCGTTGTCAAGCCCGCCAGCCGCGGCTCACTCACGGGCTTGACCCAAGCCCGCCGGCCGCCACAACGACAAGCCCGCTGGCCGCCCAATTTACCCGTAATCAGAAGAGGAGGAAGAGGAAAAATGCATGGCTCGGTGCCCTCTTCCTCGCCCGAGTGCGCCCCCCAGTGCTCGCTCCAGTGTGGGCTCCAGCCCCAGAGCTCGCTCCAGTGTGGGCTCCAGCCCCAGAGCTCACTCCGGTGTGGGCTCCAGCCCCCGAATCCAGCCCACGGAGGGCTCCTGTCCCCGAGTTTAGCCCAGTGAGGGCTCCTGTCCCCGAGTTTAGCCCAGAGAGGGCCCCAGTCCCTGAGTTTAGCCCAGAGTGGGCTCCAGTCCCCGAGTTTAGCCCAGAGAGGATTCCAGTCCCCGAGTTTAGCCCAAGGAGGGCTCCAGTCACCACGTCCAACCCAAGGAGGGCTCCAGTCCCCACGTCAAGCCCAGGGAGGGCCACAGTTCCTGAGTTAGGCCTATGGAGGGCGTCTAAAGACTATATTCTCCCCAAGGATTTTTTTTTGGGGGTAGTAGGGGTCCATCCATGGAGGCCAGGCCGAGTGCAGAGGCCAGGCTCCCCGAGCTCCCTGCTCCGCCATGGCCTCCTGAACTGTCTGATCCGCCATGGCCTCCTGAGTTCCCTACTCTGCCATGGCCTCCTGAACTGGGGAGAGTAATGTTAGGCCTGTGTTCCTGTCATGTGTTGTTTTCCTCCCTCATCTTTCCTTATGCCCATATTTGGTTATGTTCCTGTCCACATTGTTTCATTATGAGTTCATTAGTCTCCACCTGTGTTTGTTTAATTATCTAGTTAATCCCTATTACTTAAGCCCTGTGTTGTTTCCAGTCTAGCGTCCGGTATTGAACGCCAATGTTGTGTTTCCTGTGTGTCCCTGCTTGCCTTGTTTTACCTCGTCTTGGATGATTAAAGACAGTTACTTTGAGTTTATCCCACGTCTCCTCGTTCTTCGTTTCGCCACAGAAGGCAACCGTGACAATCATTTACAAAAAAATTATTATTAGTTTATTATGCCTTTCTTTCTATTTCAGACCCCAAAAGGAGAAATTTAAAGAAATGTCCCACTAGCGCTCGTCCATATAATGCCAGTGAATAGCGACCAGCATCAAGCTTTTAGAAAAACACGCACAAGTATCACAGAATGACCCCAATGTTGTCGTATATTCCAAGAGTTCTGGGGTATACAATAAGGTTTGGTGAAAAACAGACTGAAAATTAATTTATTTAACGAAAATCTTGACCTTGGTTTGTGTGCACGATTACGTGTTCATGTTCACTCCCCAGGAAAAGTTGTGAGAAATCAAAATCTGAATGAAAAGTGTCGATTGTTCACAATACAATCATAAACAAAATAAGCAATCACACTCGCTTCTGTTGAGCTTGTGAATGCAATGGCCATTCAGAGGCAATCAGATTAGTTACCACTAAAAAAACTGACTGACTATCATCATGCTATCATCTGACTGACTGTCATCATACGATGGAAGTAAGAGATTGACTTCTCAGTGTAGACAGCTTCAGTGATTATAACAGGAGTTTTTGCGAGATTGCAGATGTTGGAGTGAGCTTGCAACGAACTGAAGTCATGGACCGCTTCAGTGATGAGAAATGTTCTTTGCTCTTTTTCTTAGCTAGTTTTGCTGTGTAGCCAGAATATGACGAGCCATTTCCCACAATGATCCTCAAATGCACAGTGTGTTTTGCTTCAAGAGAACAACCATCCATTTGAGCTGCATTTTATTTCCTCATTTTTATTCATTTATAATCTTACAATCATTTATAATCATTAGCCATTCATGTAGTTTATCATTTGATTATTTATCATTTAATCATTAATTCAATAATTATTTTTATATTTTTTTTCTTTGCTTATAGTGCTTTTCTATTATTGTTTAATCTTATGATTGTGGAGTTAAATGAAATGTTTGTCTTCACAAATATGAGATAAGAGGGAATGTTTATGGAAATTCAAGGTTTTATGGGATGTTGTTGTGAAGCAGTTAATATAATAATGGTGTAATAGCACTTGTTGGATTTGTGCTGGTCAGACGGAGTCTGGGCATTGAAACACACACAATTAAGATTGTTCAATAAACTCTGCTCCTTTCTCAGGCAACTTCTAGGATGATAGAAGACTGTTAATACATTTTTGGGTACCAGACAAAACTGAAACTTTCTGACAGGATCTGGCATCCGGGGCTGGATCTTATTATCTGGTGTGGAGACTCAATCCAACAAGACTACATAAATACATTTAATAAGGTAATTATTAATTTAATAAGGTAATAAAAAAAATGCCCTTACAAAGGTAAAATAAATAAATAAATTCCCTGGAAATCAATTACAGGAGCAAATATTGTGCCTTAATGGAAAAGTTCATTTCTGACCCTGCTGTACAGCTAAGTTTTTGGACTAGTGAGATTTCACTCGCTATCAAAATGCAATCTGCACATCGCAATTATGTCTGGTCTGGACGCATTGGGATTTGACTGAGTCATGGTGCAAGTTAAGCAAAATGGACACTCATGAGTGCAAGTTCTAACTTACATAACGGTGGGAGCCATCATACTCGCAGCGCTCAATCTTATCAAGCGTAGCATCCGAGAAATAGAGCTTCTCGGCACGATGGTCGATGGCGAGTCCATTGGGAGTGCGGATGTCCCTGCCAATGATCACCAGGACATTGGCTCCAGACAGCTGAGCGCGCATGATACTAGGCGAATGCTCATTCCAGTTGGTCCAAAACATCAAGCTGGTGAACAGCAGAGCAGTGTGAGTCAGTGACAAACATTGAGTGTAACAGCATCTTTATGTATTACTAGTGCCATCCTAAAAGCAACATGACATCCCTTTCTATGAGTTTGTTGTGAAATGAAAATGTCACCTCTGACATTCATCCAGGACGAAAGCCCGTGGGTGGTCATCTCCTGACATGGTAACTACAATGTCCCGGTCAAAAGCCCCCCAGCGGCTCTGGTCCACACTGTGACGGGTGATGGTGGACGTGGTGTAACTGGTCCAGTATAAAGTGTCCCAGGCCCGATGATACGCCAACCCTTCCACTGACCCAACATCTGCAGACAAAAACAGATGGGAAAAACATTTAAAAATGAGTGAAACCTGCTGAAGTCTGTCATTGATGTAAATCAAAGAACAAAAGAAAAAGAAAAATCCTGGGACTGTTCTAGTCGCTGATTAACTTTTGTAGCTTGAATAAAGATTATTTTGGCCGGTAAATTTTATCATGTCACCGGCCATTGGCAGGTGTGGCAAATAGTATATATATATACATATACTTTTTATATTGAGTTGAGACGTGCTGAAGTTGCCTTTGGTCTCGTACTCTATCGCATACCTTGTCAGTGTCGAGCGCTTGCTTAGCCCTTTGTTGTGATAAACAGTAAAGTGTGTTTGAGCGCTAGCAAAAGACAGTGTAAAGAAATACTCTTTGAGAGAAGCAGTCAATCAGCGGAAGTTAAAATCAGATAGTAAGTGTATTTATTTCTTGTCTCATTAGTGTTTAGCTCAGTTGTCGTTGCTATGAAACGCTTGTTTTGTTTACTGTGTTGAGACGTGCTGAAGTTGCATTTGGTCGCATACCTCTATGCTTTGCATCGCATACCTTGTCAGTGTCGTGCGCTTGCTTAGCCCTTTGCTGTGATAAACAGTAAAGTGTGTTCAGCTGAATTCAATTTCCGTTTTGTGAAACGGGTATAAAAAAGTTTAGAATACCGCGGCAGCGGCAGCGGTCGCGGCAGCCCTCGTGTGAAGTCCTCCTTGTGTGAAGACCGAAGAGTGTAAAGACCATCGCCTCTACCGTGCGACTCCACCGGGCAGGGACACCAGCAAGGGACATAAGTATCGCTTTTGATTCATTCTCTTTTCTACTACTTGTTTCACTTCTGTTTCAGTTTTTATGACCAACTCAGCTTATTACTATTTCAGTTTTTATAACCAATTCTTACTATGTGTTTCCAGATCCCTACTATCACTACCACTCGCAAACCACGTTTCACACACTATAGGCAGCGCAATCCTAACAACCTGCGCACTTTGCCTATGTCTGCTAATACACTACTTTCTTTTTCTATTGGTCTCTGGAATTGCCAGTCTGCAGTAAACAAAGCAGATTTCATTACATCTATTGCTAATCATTTAAGATTAAACCTCATGGCCCTGACAAAGACGTGGATCAAACCAGAGGACACTGCTACACCTGCAGCACTCTCCAATAATTTCTCATTTTCCCACACTCCCCGTCTGACTAAAGCAAAAAGTCTACTGAACCTTTCATGTCGAAACCTTTCATGTTTCGCATCCAGTGGGGACATAATTACGGATTATAATGACTTATAATTACTTATAAAGGGACAATTACCTGGTCACTTCCTGTTTGTTGCTACCGTGTGTTTTGAGTTTGAGCTCCGTCAAGTTAATTCTTTGTCGTCTAATTTTCTATTTTAAAATCAATTTTATACACCATCATTTTCGTTTATATAACGTGTGAATATATCCCCTATCGTATCCTACAACAAAAACAATCAGAGCGCCTTGTTATCACTAGTTTTATTTTGATTTCCCGAGTCCGCTATCAGCAAATAGCCCGCTAGCATCGCCAGCGTGGTTGCCGCTAACCTCGCTTACATTACAAATACTCTATTCACACACATTACCATTGTTTTACTCACTGTTACTTGCTTTAATGGCGGATGTGTGTCTACCTTTGAGTACAGGTGAGGACACGTTCAAGCTGCATTCAGTGCAGCTCGAGCTGGAGGCCGTGGAGAAGCAGATCCGCGACCTGGTGGAGAGGCAGACCCAGCTGAGAGAGTGGAGAGCCACGCTGGAATCATCCCAGGCTGACGCTCACAAGTCCGAGGTAAGTATACAGCGCGCTGCTAATTCTCCCACCACCTCTACTCCGTGTGTTTCTCTGCACAGGCCCGGTGCACCCAGGACGCGATCTTCCCAGATGTTCTTCACTCCGGCGCCGGGACACCACGGACCCTGGGTGCAGCCGCAGCGGAAGACGCGAGCCAGGCCCCGGGCGACGACCTCTCCCCCTCCGCCGCCTCCGGTCTTCGAGATCTCCACCCGGAACCGCTTCGCTCCCCTCCGCGAGACGGAACGCGACGCTGTGATCATCGGAGACTCCATCGTCCGGCACGTCCGTGCTACGTTAGCTGAAGGTAAAGTGCACACTCACTGTTTCCCTGGTGCTCGTGTTCTCGATGTTTCTGCGCAGATACCCGCGATCCTGAAGGGCGACGAGAGCACCGGAGCGGTCGTGCTTCACGCGGGGGTTAACGACACCAAGCTGCGGCAGACGGAGACACTGAAGAGGGACTTCAGGAGCCTGATCGAGACGGTGCGCCGCACATCGCCCGCGACGACGATCATCGTGTCAGGACCGCTTCCCACGTATCGACGAGGACACGAAAGGTTCAGTAGACTTTTTGCTTTAAATGAATGGTTATTGTCATGGTGTAAAGAACAGAAACTGCTCTTTGTTAATAATTGGAATCTTTTCTGGGAGCGTCCTAGGCTTTTTCGCGCTGATGGCCTGCACCCCAGCAGAGTCGGAGCGGAACTCATGTCGGACAACATCTCCAGGACGCTACGCACCATATGACTAGTAAGTCAAATCTCAAATAACTGCCCTGATGACTTGTGTTCTACCCGCTTAAATGATAGAAGTACTTGTGCTGTCCAATCTATAAAGACTGTGTCTGTTCCCCGAATAGTGAGGTCAAAATATAAATTTAATGCAGGATCTAGAAAAAATCTTATCGTGATTAAACCAGAAAAATGTAAAATAAATGAACAAAAACAATTTTTAAAGTTTGGGCTCCTAAACATTAGATCACTCTCACCCAAAGCAGTTATTGTAAATGAAATAATCACAGATAATCGTTTTGATGTACTCTGCTTGACTGAAACCTGGCTAAAACCTAATGATTATATTGGTCTAAATGAGTCTACTCCACCAAGCTACTGTTATAAGCATGAGCCCCGTCAGACTGGTCGTGGCGGCGGTGTTGCAACAATATATAGTGATATTCTCAATGTTACTCAGAAGACAGGATACAGGTTTAACTCATTCGAAATACTAATGCTTAATGTTACACTGTCAGATATGCAAAAGAAATCTATCGTATCTCTTGCTCTGGCTACTGTGTATAGACCACCAGGGCCATATACAGATTTCCTAAAAGAATTTGCAGATTTCCTCTCAGACCTATTGGTTACTGTTGATAAAGCGCTAATTGTCGGAGATTTTAACATTCACGTTGATAATACAAATGATGCATTAGGACTTGCGTTTACTGACCTAATAAACTCTTTTGGAGTCAAGCAAAACGTCACCGGGCCCACTCATCGTTTTAATCATACGCTAGATTTAATTATATCGCATGGAATTGATCTTACTGATATAGATATCGTACCTCAAAGTGATGATGTTACTGACCATTTCCTTGTATCGTGCATACTGCGTATTACTGATAATAACTATATCGCTCCGCGTTATCGTCTGGGCAGAACTATTGTTCCAGCCACCAAAGACAGATTCACAAATAACCTGCCTGATTTATCTCAACTGCTCTGTGTACCAATAAGTACACATGAACTAGACGAAATGACTAGCAACATGGGCACTATCTTCTCTAATACATTAGAAGCTGTTGCCCCCATCAAATTGAAAAAGGTTAGAGAAAAACGTACTGCGCCATGGTACAACAGTAATACCCATTCTCTCAAGAAAAAAACTCGTAGTCTTGAGCGCAAATGGAGAAAAACGAACTTGGAAGTTTTTAGAATTGCGTGGAAAAACAGTATGTCCAGCTATAGACAGGCTCTAAAAGCTGCCAGGGCCGAGCATATCCACAAACTCATAGAAAATAACCAAAACAATCCAAGGTTTTTATTTAGCACAGTGGCTAGATTAACAAATAACCAGACACCACCCGATCTAAATATTCCCTCACAGTTTAATAGTAATGACTTTATGAATTTCTTCACTGATAAAATAGATAACATCAGAAATACAATAACAAATGTAGATTCTACAGCGTATAATACTTCAGCTTCATTCATCGCACCAAAAGATAAACTGCAGTGCTTTACAACTATAGGACAGGAAGAGCTAAATAAACTTATCACTGCATCTAAACCAACAACATGCCTGTTAGATCCTGTACCCACTAAATTACTGAAAGAGTTGTTACCTGTAGCAGAAGAACCGCTTCTCAATATTATTAACTCGTCGTTGTCTTTAGGTCACGTCCCAAAACCATTCAAGCTGGCGGTTATTAAGCCTCTTATTAAGAAACCACAACTAGATCCTAGTGAACTGGCAAATTACAGACCCATCTCAAATCTTCCTTTTATGTCTAAAATTTTAGAAAAAGTTGTGTCCGCTCAATTGCGCTCCTTCCTGCAAAAAAATGATCTCTATGAAGAATTTCAGTCAGGTTTCAGGCCCCACCATAGCACAGAAACTGCACTTGTTAAAATTACAAATGACTTGCTTCTTGCGTCAGACCAAGGCTGTATCTCATTGCTAGTTTTACTTGATCTTAGTGCTGCGTTCGACACTATAGATCATGACATACTCATAGATCGATTACAAAACTATACAGGTATTCAAGGGCAGGCTTTAAGATGGTTTAGATCCTACCTGTCCGATCGCTACCACCTTGTTCATTTAAATGGGGAGTCATCTCAATTATCACCAGTAAAATATGGAGTGCCACAAGGATCTGTCCTAGGTCCTCTGCTATTTTCGATATACATGTTGCCCCTTGGTAATATTATTAGAAAATACGGGATTAGCTTCCACTGTTATGCAGATGATACTCAACTATATATCTCAACAAGACCAGATGAAACTTCTAAATTATCTAAGCTAACAGAATGTGTTAAAAATGTAAAAGATTGGATGACCAATAATTTTCTCCTATTAAACTCGGATAAGACAGAGATATTACTTATTGGACCAAAAGATAACTACTGCTACTCACAAATCAGGCAACCAACTGGACCTTATTTACACATGACCCTTCTCCACTGATCATGTA